GTTATATAATTTCAGAACATGTTTATGGTCAACATACAACATCTACTTGACTATATTTCAGACGGGATGTTTGCTTATATGCCTATTCAAATGGCAATCACATATGGATGAAGCCTGAAGGATTTCAGGGCGGCCGGTTACCTAAGAAACCGTGTTGCTCGCCATTTTGACTGCAGCCATCCAAACATAAATATGACTAGATCTCCGAGTCCGTTATTCCAGGTTGGTGGCCTAATTTATGATCTGCTTTTTGACACACATAATAATCATGGGAACAAGAAACAATCGCAGGAAAATTTGGGGTCTAAAATTTTGCCGCTCGGTATTCTTATGAGTCAGTAGAAAAGCATCAACTCCCACTTCAATTTCCTCTTCCATTCATCTTATCTTTTGCCCAAGGTTAGCTGTATAAAGTTAACACCAATAATGTTTTCAACAAAAAAATATGGCAGTATAAGCAATAGTAGAAGCTTTCACACGGCCGACCGGCCAAGAGGAATGCCTTGGCAATATAGACAAGGCACCATAGATCATAAGGCCCATCTGAAAGGCGATATCTTTTGGTATGATTCATTAATGTTGCCCTCCTGGCAAAGGGAGTGGATTACTATTTAGTACCTTTAAAAGGGTTTGAGGTGGGTTTGGTTGCGAAGACAGGCAATAAGGACCAAGGAATGCATACGAGTATTAAATGTGAAAGTTTTTGAAAATCACTATATATGGTTCCCTATTACGACTGAGCTTCACCATGAACCTATTACCCTATACAGAAGCATATATATATGATTTCTTTCCTATTCGTAAAGTAAGTACCCGAAGATAAGAAAATGATGTACAAATTAACAAATAAATCGTATTAAAATACAAACTAATAGTCATATATTAAAAAAAAAAATCAAATACGCATAGTATATCGGTTGTGTATTGGATAGTTTTTTTTCCTCTTAATAATTCGAGTTTATTTAATTTATATAATGAGAGAGTACTACCCTGATTGTGTATGATTGTATAGCTCAATACCCACGGCTTTCTATGTAGGAGAAAAAGCAAAAAAATGTCATTACCTTTGCTTTTAGGCAAGTTTCTGCCCACATATTGCATGCCACGTACTAGATCTATTATTGAAAAAGAGTAAGTTTTCAAACTTCACGGATCACATTAGTTGAAAGTTGCAAGATCGAGCTGGCTCCAGGTATTTAATCTCCAACAAATTCCTCACATTTTCCGTACATAAGTGGTTGCCAATGACTTAGTAATGAATTGCTACTGCTAAAGAAAGAAAGGGTACTCTCCTGCATGTTTGATATATTGCTTTGTGTCTTTCAGTATTGTTTCGAATGGCTAGAGCCAGTAAACAAGATGATCCCACTATCTGGCAAAAATCTCCGATGTTCATGAGCTAGCTCTGCATGCACAATATTGAATTCTCAAGACTACAAGCTTGCATGCAATTATGCGCGCGCGTGCCAATTAACTCGCCGGTATTAGACACCTGTAATTGTCCTTGCATAGCGTTTCCCTTGTTTTAGTTTTCTCGATGGAATATATTTTTTTTTTGCACAAATCCAATTAATCTGAAAATCGTTTTCAATTAACAGTTGCTTATTAAAATACCAGATGAATATGGTGAACGAAATTGGATTTATAAAGCCATTATTATCAAGCATTTCCTTTTTATAAATGTATCAGATAATTCATTATTGGTAGTCGCCACCTCTTGCTTATATGCAAGAAGTATAAACATCAGGTCACAATTTTAAATTTTAATAAATTAGTTTTACGAGAAGTTTTAAGTGTATCTTGAGTGTATGACTTAAAAAAAGAAGTTAAATTACAAGCATTTTAGATATTATTATTTCGGTAAGTAATTGCTATATCACACAAGAATCGAAGCTGGAACGTTTTCAAAGCACATACACAACACTAATAAAAATTCTAATACATATTAAAAAAAAAGCAAAAAGAAGAGTTTTTTGCGATACTATTGCAATATACAAGACACAAAACTGTATATTCCATATCTGTGCCTGTGTTCTTCAGCTCCACCTTGTTTTAGTCCATGGTCTATACTATGTTTGGCATCCATGTAAGAGGAAAAAAAAACCTAAGATCAGAATCCTACTGCACAGGTTGGAATCCTAGGTACAAAGAATTTTCAGCTAAGCAGAATAATATCTAACTGGAGATATACTGTATAGATCAAAGGTAGGATTTCATTGTTTCTTCTTGTATTTATCACATTTAATTTAAATATATATAATTGGAGAACCGAACTTTTAGACCAAAAAAAAACAAATGAAAGTGGATTGATGTCCCGTTAATTAATTACAGCACCAATCGCCGTCCCTAAGAAGTAGTAGTACAGTATCATTTATTTATATAACCTAGCTAAGTTTCCATGTAACCAATCCATGCATGTAGATTCGTACACACAATATCCATTAACCACTTTCTACACTTTCTTCTTTGGTTGCCAACTTGCAATTGATCAATAATAACCTGCACGAAATCCTTATATATAGTAACCAAGAAGACTTGAAAATTAAAAGCGCCAGAATGGCTTCCTTTGCTTAACTCATCCTTAAAAAACAATGTAATGATCTCACACGGTCCACAACCATTAGATGTCTTGTTGAACAAATAAATATGCCACTTAGAAACTTTGCAGAAACACCAAAATCATCTCCCTATCTAGCTAGCTTCCAACCAACTATTATTAAGGAATATGGGAAGCTTTCGTGACCACCATAGCAAAATTCTTGACACTTCATTTCCCGTTTTTGGTCATGTCATATAGTTACATTGGTTTGGAAAATAAATTTTTTTTGCCCTATTCATCAAATAGACATGTGCGTGGTCTTGAATATGTAATTAGCTAAGAGATGGTTGGAAGGTTATTAATTACAATCATGCACTCATGTGAGTAATTGTTAGACTAGTACTGCGAATTAATAAAGAGGGTGACAATGCCTTCCAGAGTAGTAGGTAAGAAAGCTAAGATGCTGCGGACAAGAAAAGATTTTTTATAGGCTCCGTAAGTTAGATCGTCCAATCGGTTTAGGCAAAAAAAAGTCCTTCCAAACTTACAGTCAGCTTTAATTTCTAGAGACTAATTATAGTATATACTCGATTTGCAAACCGTATTAAAAAATTATGATCTCTATTTTTTATACGGTTACCTTTATGTTTCTTAATCAATTTTTTACTATTTTGATGTATAAGTGTACAAAAAAAGAAAAAAAGAAAAAAAAACGAGAGTTAATTTTCTTAACTAATAGTTGAGTTACTTTGCTTAATTTTTTATTGTCAGAAACTATGCTTGATGTGTGACCAGCAATGAATTCAATAGTATACTGAAGACTTGAAAGTCAAGAATTTGTTGTGCTTTGGGACATTAGAGATTTACATCTCTACATCTTAGGTTAAGGAATATATTCATAGGGATGAAATTAAGTGCATAATTTTTTTTTTTAATAAAGATCAAGTTAAAAAAAAATTGAACTAAAACAAACCATATATTTTATTACGGAACATATATATCCTATATTGAATAAATAAACAAAAGATGAACAATATATAAAATTAAAAAGAGATCATTTTTTTTAATAGAACTTAATTTCAATTATCTAACTATATATAGTATCATAGTTCTGAAAAAAAAAAATCCAACAATAAGGCGATGAAAAGTATGAGAGAACATATATATTTTATATTGAATAGATAGACAAAAAATAAATAATATATAAAGTTGAAAAAAAATCACCCACCATAAAAGTTAAATCTTTTAAATAGAATTCAATTTCAACTAATCTAACTCTATAGGATTAAATATGATAAAATATATTTTTAGAGGCAAATATGAAGTATAATTTTTATAGAAAAAGCTAATGAGAGTCCTTACAATATTATTTGAATGCTTTTATTAAACTCCATTTGTTATTCAATTGTGTTAAAAAAAATATTTAAATAAAAATAAATGATATGCATTAAAGACATTAATTAAATAAATGTTAGTAGTAGTATAATAATTTTAAGTGTTTCTAATAAATTCTAAAAAACAATATCATTAATTATAAGCATTAAATTTCTTGTAATAAGTTTGTTGGAGAGGTAGCTAGACTCGATTTTTATTACTTTGTAGGGATCACATTAAGCCTTTTATTAGGCCGCTTCCATTTAAAAATTTAAAATGATAAACTTCCCCTTTACAAAATATACATTATCACACACATATATGATAAGGCTGGAGTTGCTTGGGCCCATGTCAGCCCAAACCAATCACATCAAACCTTGTGGTAGGCCCATCCAGTTTTTTTAGCGTACTAGGCCCGCCCATTTAAAAAAAAAATCGATATTTCAGAACCAGACATTGACAAAATACACGCAGCTCTGGAACGAATGTAAATGAACCAAATTAAATTATCTAATGCTTTCGGAAAAATGTAAACTCGTTGCCTTAGGTAAGTTGACCACAAATAGTTTGGGATCGAGAATGGACCAATTATAAGGTGATGGTATTGTCGGTCAAGAGAATGGATTTCCTTGTGATGCAAGGGATTTCTTCTAGGAATAAAATTGTTATTTCATTATTGGATATACTGAATGATCCTGTCCGGAATTTTGAGGTTGTTCCCTTAATCAATTTTTATTTTTTATTTTTATGAAAATTATTTGTTGTTGGTTTAATGGCACAAAGGAGGAGGGTAAACACACTCCCCTGCACGTTCAAAGAGCCTCTAAGAAATATATTCCCTCTTGGCTTGCGCCATACATATATACACCACACATGATAACAGAACATATATTAGACAGCTTTGGATATCATAAGTGTAACAAATGTGTCCAGTTAATAAAAAATAATCAAAATAAAATCTAACTGGAGATCTAGCTTAGCTGTAAACTGCACCAAATTTGAATAATCAGTAATGTCATAGAATTACGAACTCGGGATTTTCTTCCTTTTTCTTGTATCTAACAACTTTTTTAGTCGTAATACTATAATGAAACAGAGATGCTTATTGGATGATAAAACGTGAGGTCCAAGCATGCAAACATAAATAGAGAGCAGTCCATCTAATTGAGGCTGTCAATTTACCAAGAAAATGTACGGCGCCATTTTACTTTGAATTCCTGACAGTTCATGGATCAACTCAACAACGATCTCCAGCCACCAATATCTGCCACCACCTCCAGCCGGACATCCAAAACTTTTGAATCCTCTGAGGCCGGTTGTGAGAATCCATCTCGGTGGAACAAATGTCAAGGTTCCACAATCAATTCCCGTCGTCCTCTCCTTCAACAACCTCACTTGCAGCGTCAAAGTCCGTCCAAAATTTCGAGTGGCACTACCCCGCTGCCGGTTTCAACGCATTGTTGATGTTGCTGCGATGCATCTTCAGGTTGGTGGAGAGAGTTCATTAAAGACTACCAAAACACTCAATGACACATCCGGCGAGGCGCGCAGCGGTGAGAGTTTAGCTGTTCTTGGCGCTAGCGGATCAGGAAAGTCAACACTCATCGATGCTCTCGCAAACAGGATTGCCGAAGGAAGCTTAAAAGGAAAAAAGACCCTAAATGGCAGAGTTTTGAAGTCGAGAATGCTAAAAGCGATATCAACTTATATCATGCAAGATGATGTGTTATTTCCGATGCCAACTGTTGAAGAAACTCTCATGTTTGCAACTAGGGCTTAGGAATGCTGCCAGGACCATCATAGGAGATGAAAAACATAGAGGTGTATCTGGAGAAGAACGGCGTCGTGTCTCCACTGGCATTGATATAATTCATGATCCAATAATTGTTTTTCTTAATGAACCAACGACGGGTTTGGATTCCACAAGTGCGTGTATGGCTGTGAAGGTTTTGGAAAGGATAGCAAAAAGAGGGAGTATTGTTATTATATCCATACTCCGGCCCAGTTATCGGATTCTTGGGTTACTAGATCGGTTGATACTCTTGTCACGGGGACAAACTGTTTATAGTGGCTCTCCGAGGAATTTGTCATTGTTCTTTGCGGATTCCGGGTATCCAACACCGGAAAATGAGAACCAGGCAGAGTTTGCATTGGATCTTGTAAGAGAGTTTGAAGAGTCACCAGGAGGGACTGAGAGTTTGGTCGAATTTAACAAGTTATGGCAGAATTTGATGCGTTCAAGAAATGGTGCTGATGAGCAAGACCTGCACGGTTTGTCACCTAAAGAAGCTATTAGTGCAAGTGTTTGTAAAGGGCAATTGGTGTCTGATGCTGTTCATAATGATGCTATAATTTCCAACTCAATGCTACCAACGTATGCAAATCCATTTTGGAAAGAGGTAGCAGTTTTGTCAAAAAGATTGTTTACAAATTCATTAAGGATGCCGAAATTGTTTGGGATTCGTTTGGCAACAGTTATTCTTCTTGGATTTGTTTTAGGAACAATGTTTTGGCAGCTTGACAATTCACCAATGGGAGTGGAAGAACGACTTGGGTTTATCTCTTTTCCCATGGTAACTGCTTTCTTCCTTTGTGGTGATGTAATTCCAGTTTTCCTCCAACAAAGGAATATTTTTATGAGAGAAACTGCTCATGATACTTACAGAAGATCATCTTATGTGATATCTCGTGCACTTGTTTCACTACCGTCATTGTTTTACCTGTCATTAGCGTTTTGTGACCACACGTTGGGCTGTTGGGCTTGATGGCGGTCTTCCAGGATTCTTGTTTTACTTTTTGATGAATTTTGCTTCGTTTTGGGCTGGAAGTTCTCTCGTGACATTTCTATCCGGGGTTGTGGCTCAAGTCATTGCTGGTTATATCATAGTTGTTGCTCTTTCAGCATATTTCAACCTTTTTGGTGGCTACTTTATAACCATTGATCGAATCTTTCATCACTTGTCACTGGTGAAATACCCTTATCAAGCTGTTTTGCAGAATGAAGTTCAAGATCCAACCAAGTGCTTTACAAGGGGCGTTCAGATTTTTTACAACATGGGTCCACTCAAGTAAGTACCCACGTCAATGAAACTAAGATTGCTGGAGTCAATGAGAAATTCTATGGAGAGGAATATAACTAGCTCCACATGCTTGACTACTGGGTCAAATACATTGAAGCAGCAAGGAGTTACAGATTTAAGCAAGTGGAATTGCTTGTGGGTCACGGTGGCTTGGGGGTTATTCTTTAGGATACTGTTTTACTTATCTTTGATTTTAGGAAGCAAGAACAAGGGAAGGTAATTATTATTAATGGTAACTAGAATTATGTGTTTTGCTTTGGAATTTGGTTTGGAATGACTTATCACCATTTGAGTTGAGGGTTCTGGTGTAAACCTGTTACATACGGTGGCTCCATAATGTTTCTTGACAACGATCTATATTGTTAATTATTGCGTAGAGCTTTGTTATGATTATCTGTAATCCTATATACACTGCTTTTTGAGAAGAATTTGAATAAAATTTGTGTTTTGTAAATACAAAGTCCATGTTTGTGTGATATGTCAAAATGGTTATTATCCAAATTCCAGCTAAAACTTCTATCAAGGATCTAATTAATATCTTTCGAGGTACAATTCCTATATTATTATTATTATTAAATGGCTAAGGTTCTGGGAAACAAGAGGAGAATTGCAAGCAAACTAGTCTAGGGAAACAAATCCCATACATACATGTCTTCAAGAACAATAGAGAACCAACAGGACACAGAAGGGATAGAAGAAAAGAGATGAATGACGAACTCAAAGCAAAAGACATTGTCAACTAACCAATCCGCAAATGTATGCTGACGCGCATGAATACTATTTACGCCATTAACATGTACATTTTCAAAATCCATCTTAGTTACTACTAGCTAATACTTCAGAAGATGTCGGCAAGTAAAGTTTCACAATTTTGGAGAATCCATCTACGAGAAAAAAGTACTTCATAAAATTGGAGGTAGCTCCTGGCCAGGTCAGTGCCATGGTCAAACGCAGCGACGACGCTCAGAAACTTTAGACTTGAAATTAGAGGGTGCGCCAGGCCCTTGCAGTAGTGCAACGCATGGGCGACGCTTGAAGATCCCAGCAGCAAGCTGCTGTGATGGACCCTCCCCTTTGAAAAATTAATTTAATATCGTGTGAACCTTTGGTTCACGTATCAGATATTAAACTGATAAGAACAGATACTACACTTGATCTTAGCCAAAAGGCCGAGAAAGGTATGCTTAGAACAGTGGCTTCAATTTGTTTTTATGCATGCAGCATTCAATGATCCTTCTTGTTGGAGCAATGTGGGACAAGGACATCCTCTGTGCTCCTTCGTCTTTTCTCTCGTCTTCTGCTGCTTGCTTGTAAGTCTGGTTTATTGCTTTTATCTTGTACGAATACTTGGTTTCTACAAATACCGGTACCAAGTAGAATGTGATTCTATTGGAGATGCAATCTAGCTTCTGCATTTGCCTTAAATCTTTGCTTTTTTAAGGCAAATTTATCTAAAGCCATTAACTTCAAATGGGTCTCACAAGATTTGGAAAGTCACATGTAGATTTGAAAAACCAATAAAGGATCCTTTGATTATTAATTCACACACGAGAAAGTTGACATAACTTGGTCAATGCCATGTTTGTCAGAATTTCCTCCTACACAGGTTGGAAATAATAGGTTAAAGTATTCAATCAAAATAAATCACAGTGGCAATTTAATTTTATACTAATATAGTGTCTCTTGCTGCAGGCAACCTTATAAACTTTTTTCATTATTTTAATAATTTTAAAAATTTAGGTGAGCAAAATCAAATCAAACAATATTAATTGTAAAAAAACTTAATTTAATTTGTAATTTTATAGTATTTAATACATGTATGTTTCTATTTTTGAGTTCAAATAAATTTTACGAATATGTTTGATTCTGATAAATGAAAAACACAATCATAAAATCAATTATTTGTATCACCTAAATTAAATCTAATCAAATGAATGTAAGAATCGACAACGAAAAGGTGTTTTAGCAATCCATGTTGGAAAGATGCTTAATTTTAATCAATGAGTCCATAAATATTGATTAAAAAACCTTTTTATTCTCTACTTAATAGATTTTTTTCATACCAGTATAATTCTAAACATTAAATTTTTTCAATACATGTTTAAAATGATGATAAATTTTGATGCAACATAAAATCAGTCAAAAATTAATATAAAGATATGATAAATTATTAACTATCAATCCTTGTTATTTAGACTTTTTTTTTTTGAGATGTTAATTTACGGTTAGCATTGATATTTATTTTATAAAAAAAATGGTGTTATATCAATTTTTTGTTAGTATTATTGTCATTAAATTTTTTAAAGTTATACATCTTAATTGAATAATTATCTATCATCAAACCTCTTATATTGTCAAAAAAATTGGCAATTAGTCCTTATCTTTTTTGTAAGATTGAATGAAGAATCGTTATTTTTTGTAACAATGATTATTTTTTATACTAATATTTTTTAAATCAAAATCATGAAAAATAATCATTATTATTTATCTGTGAGGTTCTATTAAAAATATAAAAATAATCATTAATTATTTAAGAAAAAGTGATATAGAGCAAATGATAAATAATGGAAAAAGAAAAACTAAAAAAAAGAAAGAAAGAAAGAAAAAGTGGGTTGTTTCGAGCCTAAAGCTAGCGGGCGGGGGCCTGGTGGCAGTGTGTCTAGGATAGCAGCACTCGGTCTAGAAGCTAAAAAAAAAAAAACAGAGAGAGAGAGGAACCGCTTGTCATCTGCCCTTAAGTTGCAGGCACAAATGCTGCAACGTCCAGCGCTGTTGTCTATAATTTTGTTGCCAGAAAATAAAGGAGGCACTGTTTTTGGTTCCTCCACACCCAACTTCTACATCTTTTCCTTAAAAATATTTTAAAATCATGTAAAAATCTATTTTGAACCTAAAATTACGTTCTAATCCACCCTAAAAACCCAAAAAAAAAAAAAAAATTCTCTCTTGCCTTCTCTCTCCTAGCTCTAACGCAAATGAAATGAGGGACTATTTTGTACAAACCTAAAATGTCAAGGACTAAAGTGGAATTATCTTTAAAATATCACTTAAATTTTTTGTCAAAATGATGTCCTTTTATTAAAATCCATCACATTTATATACTTAATTAGCGTAAAAAAAAAAAAAAAACATTTATAGGTTTGGAAGCACTCTCTTCTTTTCCCAAAGAAAAATGCAATGGAAGGTGTGTCTGTGAATCTACAAGGATTCATAAATGGATATCTATGTACCAATTTGTAAATAGAAATAGGCTAAAATGGGGTGGCAATGAGCATTTGATCTTCGGACTTTTAGGGTAGTGAATGGGTATGGTATTAGATGGCTTAAGATGGGGTGCTCTATTTTGTTCTCAGGACATTCATCCACTCATGTCTGCTTTGTTTGGCCCTCACAATGTTCTACCGTCCAATTAGCAGTTTTGTTTCATCATATCTAAATGTCATAATACATGAAGAAAAGGAAGAAAACCAACGAAATAATAACCTAGAACAAAAAAAATATATATATATATTCCTATAAACCTCAATATCAGGTACATTGCATTATAAAAAGACAAACCATACATTTTCTTGTGCTTTTTTGCAGCCAAGTTACTGATAAAGTTACTTGGTTAGATAACTCTTGAAAAAGGCTATACGTCTCAATGGTTTTTGCAAGGACTAAAGATCTCTTGCAAATAATTAGTTTGGGTACACCTTTATTATAACTTCATGCTTCAACTACTTCAATGCCTTTTGTCTCGTTGATAAATTTACACAGGGGCAAAGGGTGTACCATTTGTGGCATATACCAATTGTCTTTCGGACAAAGAAGCTAAGCAACAGAAACCTTTTGACTTGAAATTAGAGGGTGCGCCAGGCCCTTGCAGTAGTGCAACGCATAGGCGACGCTCGAAGATCCCAATAGCAAGCTACTGTAATGGACCCTCCCCTTCAAAAAACTAATTTAATATCGTGTGGACCATTGGCCCACATATCAGATATTAAACTGATAAGAACAGATACTACACTTGATCTTAGCCAAAAGGCCGAGAAAGGTATGATTTGTTATGCAGTTTCAGTTGCAGTTTATAAGTGCAGCCCTCTACATTTTCTTCTGATTTACTGATGTGGGATACAAGTACCTGCATCTTTCTCTTTCACTGCTCCTTTCGAGTCCTTTTGTATTAAAAGCTTTGTTTCTACTGCATATCAGAACATAATGTTGTAATCGCACTGGAACTAATCTGGCTTCGGTATTCACTTTGATAGCTTGTTTTTAAGGCCAGAGAAATCAAAACTCTGTGAAGTAGTAGCCTTCTTTTTTTTTTTTTGGTGAAATCCATGCTAAGTGTCACTGGATCTGATGCAGCTCTTGCCAGCGCAGCCATGCATCAAGGATTCTTAGGATTTGTTGGATTGGGAGGATGCCACCATCATTGCAGTTTTGCAGAGATATCAAGCAACTGTCTAATATGTCTGATACGGTTTCAATTAACTAGTCAATAGGAAGGCATTGCTGATTGGAAGGACTAATATAATATAAATGTTGTATATGATTTCTCAAATGAATGAGATGATGCAGTTCATAAATATTGCTGCCAATAACAAATTTCCGTCACCGTTTCAAGTTCTAAGGTCGCTTGATTCTTCTTGTAGCCACCAACGACCGCTTGACGCTTCGGCTAATGCATTTGCCCTGTTTGGGTTCGAATTTTATCGTGGGTCAAAATCTAAAATTGGGCCGACAAGCCCAACACCAATCAAATCAAACCTCTTAGTAAGTCCATTTAAATAGTGGTAGGGCCATCCACATAAAAGAATTTTATAACGTGCCCATTAACAAAATACACCCAAGTAGGCCGAAGCTCTCACTCCGCCATTCGCTAACTAACAACGCCCGCCACAAAAAAAAAAAAAAAAGAAACTGACAGATGCAGAATTTTTTTTTCCTTATCCAAACAAAATAACACACGCTAAAAGATAACATTTCACTAGGAATTTAACAATGGCTACACTACCATCTTCACCTTCTCTGCAACTGTCAACAAAAACATCAGCAGCAACTCATTTCCCTTCCCCACTCGTCGCATTCTCAATCAAACCCCACGTGCCCAAACTCTCCTTCGCCACCCGTGCAACCACAGATGACAAAAAATCAGATACAACCCAAGAACCCGAGTCAAAACCCGGATCTGCATCTGATGACCAATTCGAGAGCCGCCTGTCTCAAGTCCGACTTCGATACCGAAGCGGGACCGGCAAGAAAGCAGAGCTCCGAAAAGCTAAGAAAGGAAAATCCTCATCTGGGTCCGGGTCAGGATCGGGAATGTACCTGCCTCCAGCTCCTTTAAAGGAATCGGTTTCTGATGGGTTAAAAGTGGAATTCGGGTTTAGCCCGTATAGTGAACGAGTAAACGGGCGGATCGCAATTCTTGGGTTATCAGCTTTGTTATTAGTAGAGCTTGCAACGGGTAAAAGTGTAATTAACTATCACACACCACCAATTGTGTTGATTCAGATTTATTTTGTAGCTGCGGTTACTGCTTTGTATGTTAAGTACGAGAAAGAGAAAGTTAGTATCTGGCCTGAATCTTCTCCTGGCAAGGAATGAACGAATAAATAAATTGGGTAATTGTAAACAAAAAAAGAAAAAAAAACATGTTTTAACGCTTATTTTTGTAATATTAGTTTGTTTTGGAGCCATGTTTACGTTTTTGTTTATGATATGGTTGAGGTTGGTTGTGGTAATATGCTGTTTTTTTGTTTATTTGTGGATGAGGCAGATAGAAGTTTCCTAAGTGTGTTTTATCGTCTGAATTTGGTCCATTTGGAATGCGTCTATCATACATGGACATTTTGTATGGAGTAGGAGTTCCAGAATGGAGTTGAGTTTTGGAATGCATCTCCTGTATTTTCACATTCATCAAATGAAAAGATATACTGGCAAGATCGGGAAGAATGCTGCAAAAAACATTACCCAACAGTTGACATATTTTAGAACCTTCAAGTAAGGAAGAACGGGAACAAATTTCTTTGGTGTTTTTGGCTCATTGTTTGTAAGCTAATTGGTTAGACAGTACCTGTATTATTGATCAAATAGAGAATGGTATACCGAACTTTAATTTTTTCAATTTATATATCATAATTATTATTTGGTTTGTAATCATGTCAATCGTTTTTGTTGACTAACATCCGAACACACGTGGAAGGCATGTGATGGTAAAATAACAGAAAAATCTACACTTAAATTAAATTGCCAGGCCTAAAATTTTTACTCAATATCCTACTTAATTTCAATCAAGATCATTATCTTATTCTTTTTTTTTCTTTCCTAAGAAATCTTAATTTCAATGTGAAGTTCATTTTCCATTTTTTTCCCCCTAACAAATCTAAAATCTTTACCCAAATAAGCAAGGCAAAAAGAAGATGACAAAATAGGTTTTTCTTTTTTTTTTTATCGGAAGAGAGAGAGCTTCGTTTAACAATGGCTTGTGTTGGGTTTTGATGTTGTTTGGCTGGAGAAGATGGCGGCTATGAAGATTGTAGTGGTTGGTGTTGGGTCTTAATTGAAAAAGAGAGAGCCTAGAGATTGTGTTGCAAATGTTGGGTTTGATCGGAGGAGAGGCACGGTTATTGTTGTTGTTGGGTTTAATCGGAAGAGAGGGGTGGTCAAAAAAACTACAATGACTAGTGGGTCTTGATGTTGTTTGGCTGGAAAAGGTCGTGGTTATAAGAATTATAGTGACTGGTGTTGGGTATTCATCGAAAGAGAGGGATGGCGAAGAGAACGATGGCGGGTGTTGAAATAATTAAAAGAGAGGGATAGGTGTTGCTGGTGTTGGGTTTGAACAGAAAGAGAGTACAGGACAATGGCAAAAAGGTTTTGAGAAGATGACACTAGGAGGATAGAAATGGCTGTGGCATAAGAGTTTAAGAAGATAGTGGTAATTTGTTTTTAGGTGAAAATAATTTGTAAATTTTTGGTCGTCTAAAAATACAATTGGCTAAAAAAGTTGATGTGTCTTTTATTTATTAGATTATATCAACATCACATCCAAAAATTATTCTCGAATATTGGCGAACAAAATCAGTAAATTAAATTGCAAATCAAAAAATAATTATAATGCTCAAATTAAAAAAAAATTAACATGAAAGTACCACTCTTCGTTTAACCGATAGTACAAAGGTATTATCGGACATCGTTTTTATTTCCACTAACTGTGCCAATAACAAGGAATACGACCAGAAGCCTGAGTTTCAACCACGTACCAGGCAATCAAATCAAATTAAACTCCACCACATCATGACTCCCTAGGATTCCCTATTTCTGTAACGATTTTTGCACATCCAAGAACGTTTATTATATATATGACATATGTTGTAATGAAAAGTATTGGGCAGATGCGTCACGGTCCAACCAACGAACATCAGGGACGAGGGGACATCAGTCATCCCAAAGGCAATGCTTTGGTTTTCAACCAAACGAATTGCAGAAGTGGCCTTCCCTAAACCTGACGTGTCACTCTCTAACTCGTGCAATATCGGGAAAATTCATCATACAGAATAAGCAAATCAAGCAAGAACTTTATGTTAATACTAAAAAAATAAATCATTAACTTTCATTAATATAACAGAAGAAGCAAATCAAGCAAGAACTTCATGTTAATGCTAAAAAAAAAAAAAAATTCATTAACTTTCATTAATACAACATACAACAAAATTCATGTTTCTTATTTCCTTCCTCTTCGAGTATATTAACATGTTCTGTCTTCCCCAAGAAAGAATGAATCATTGTTAACAAAAATGAACAATCTAGTCATTAGTTATGGTGCCAGCTCAGAGTCCCCCGCAATCCTAGATAAATCATTCGAGGGGAATTGGTGTGATCAATTTCATTTTTTGTTGCAACTCTATACATCTGTGATCTACCCTCTCTAAAGTTACAGGCAACCTCCACGGGCTTGAACTAAATTCCTCGGCCCAGAAAATACCCCACGTTCCTCGTTGTACCAATATATTGTTGAGGGTGGAACAAATTTTCCATGGTTTTCTTACTATGCTCTCAATATAATTAATTTCAATCACCTTGGCTATAAAGATGTCCGTGTCAGAAAATCATTAACAGCCAGATTAGCATCTCCATGGGCCACAGCATCTTCAGGTTCCGGCATGTATAGACTGGAAGATGAAGCCTGCACATCAAGGATCCAACATTTATTCACAATGAAACCCAAAAAGAAAAAAGAAAAACAAGCATCCATAAGTTTGTATTGTGTTTGGTACATTTCATACAAATTGAAACCTGAGACAATTAAACAAGAAAAAAAAAATGGACCAAAAAAAATGCCAAGGGAGTGCCTCGCATTATTTCTGGGGGTAAATTTTATTAATATTACTTGTAGACTAATGAGATTGCAGTTTCAAAAGTAGCAATTAGCACCGCTGTGATGCAATTGGCTTGCAGATAGGTTCCATTGATGCAGATCAAGACTTGATCTATTCCTACAAAGGGTCCCATACAGAGTAGCCATATGTCAATTCTTAAACCCAAGGGAATCCTGGAATTTCACCATGCTACGAGGCACATTGGAGAAAGTTAACGTTTTTTCTTTTCACTGGGCAAGGGTGGGAAAATGAGCAGCATCTACAGCTCAAAGCTGTGGCAGTAATTAGGCACCTAGTAAATTTATATATTCTTGTGAAAATATTGTAGTTAAACTGAAGATACCTTTGTATCAAGCTGCATCTCTCCATTGTTATCTGAGGTGAGGCAAGCACCATGTGCCTTCATCCATTCCACACACTCCTCTAATCCTGACACGTCTGAGTCAACGTCAATTTCATCACTTGTACTAGAGAAGCCCAAAACCTGTGCAATGTAAGTAACAGGTATTGTAGGGCGATATGACCGGGACATGCAACTCACAGCCTTGTACCGCATCTTTTCAACATAGAGATCTGTAAGAGGATGAACTGTCATGTCAATAACGAATTAGCAAGGAGAAATTTCAAAAAGAGGAGTTTCTGATGCCCACCCATAAGGCAGGTGTTCAAGTTAGGAGCATCCTTGTAAAGTCTGAAGAACATAACATAGTTTCCCGAAGTGACAGCTGCACGAACTGCAAGAGCATGTTTAACAGCTTTTTCCTTCTTTGCTCCCTCGGTTAATCTGGAAAATCAAACAGTAGCATTTACATTATAGCAAAATCATTTTGAGCCATAATAAATGAAAGGCAGACAGATCTACACTGATTATCCTAGAGTCAGCAGGTGAAAATTCAACCTTGCCTGCACTTTACATATAATAAAGCCCAGTACACAACAAAATGGCAATTCAATACCTGCACCATCAGTATAAGTTGTGTAACTAAAACTCATTCAGCAAATGTTACTAACCTTGACATAGATGATACAAGATCTCTGTGGTTATTTGAGTGCAATATAACGCACAGTAAGTTATAAGCTGCAAACTCCATATGACATCCTTCAATTCCTTCAGCATAGAGGGTTTTCAACTGTGATTGACACTGAAACAAAAATAGAAAGTAAACCAAAAAATGATTAGCGGCTACAACCATCACAATTATCATAATCTATTAATAATTGAACATGGTATTAGAGAAACAACTGCTTCATTGTTTCTGATATCTTCCTGTTTTTAGAAATTTACATTTCCAGCTATAAAATACACATTATTTCAGATTCAAACTGCAATAAAACACAAGCTTCTACCCTGTACAGACTTGACATGCACCAGCAAGAAGAAAGCACTAATACAAGGATACCAAGTCATAGTAGAAGTTGCAAAATATTACTTGTAGCCTAGAATAAATTAAGGCAAAGAAGTCTGAACATGCGCACAATGAAAAGTTGCATTGAAGTGCTAGATAAAAGCTTTAGGCACCATTTTTCTACACGTTTTCAAATCATTCAGTCACTACTAACATAACTAAACATCATTTTTCTAACTAGAGAAATTTTGATGGTCTTGAATGTATTGTACCAACATAAATATTAGCATGCAGACTCTTCTGCCAGTTTCAATGTCCCATTGGAAATGGTTCAACTGATTACTTGTAAGGAAAAAAGTTGTTTGAATGGAAAATCACTTGTAGTCTCAAGATGGACAAGGATGAATGAGCAGTGCAGCAATTTTTCCAGGAGTGTCAAATCCAGCAAACAAAATGAACTAAAGAAAAAAAAATTGGTTTACAGCCATGTTAATAGCCCCACCAACCTGATTATACTCAGGCAAGTCCCCTGCTTCCAGTGCTAATCGAGCATGAGTTTCATACACCTGAATACACAAAAAACAAAACTAAATGAAGACTCAATACGAAAGAACAGAGTAGTTTTCATGTCAAATGGGTAACATAGGTATCGTACACACCTTAACTGTTAGCTGATTCTGTATTCGTTGTACAGTTAGATCTTGACGAATAGACTTCAATTGATCGCATTTATAAAGGTAGTTCTTTTGAGAATTCTGAACCATAAGCAGAGCTTTTTCTAGCACTTCTTCCGGCCTCACCTGTAAAGCAGTATTGATTTAGACCAGACAAATCATATCTGTATGAATGTATGTATTATGTATTATGTATGTATGTAAAACATCTTTTGCTTGGGAGGTGTGAGGAAAACAAATGGAATGTGGAAAAACTGAGAAAAGTCTTCTCCTTGGATGCATGAAAGCCAACCTCTCCAATTAGGAAAGAAAATGGGGAAAGTTTGGTTAAAATAATTAAATCTCCAATTTTACCCTTGATTTTTAATTTAAAATAGAATCTCATTAAAAAAGTAAAACAACAGTAAAGTAATTCTCCCATCCAAAAAAAAATCCTTCTTTTCTTCTTCTTTCCAAACAAGGGAAAATAAATTTTCTCCATTTTTTCATTCCAACCATTTTCCTCTCTACCAAAAAGGTAAGGAGATAAAAAGATCTTCCTCATCTATTTTCTTTCCCACTATTTTCCTTCCTCTCATCTTCTTTCCTCTCTCCGGAAAAAAAAAAAAAAAAAAAACCAGCTTCTGTTCATTTATGGATGAAAAAAAAAAAAAAGGAAACGACATAAAGATGTTAGATAATTACAGTGGAAGGATCGGGTGCAGAAGTAAGGCGCAAATAACGTTTCTCAATTTCCTGGCAGGTACCCTTGACAGTTAGTGCATCCCAATCAATGTCTTCAACAGCTTTGCTTCCGCTGTCATCAAAGCTTTTGCTAAGCATCAATGCACTAGTCCGCCTACTGTACAAGTTTCCAGAACCAGCATTTTTTGGTTTGAAGTAATTAATTTCAGCTCGATGTCCTTGTCCCTTTTCAAATCGCTTAGAGCGACTTTCACGTCTTTTTTTTCCTCTGGTGTATTTGCAAATATTGCACTAGAATAATAAGCAGTTAAACTTTGCTCCTTATCACTATCACTTGATGCATCATTATTAGCAGCATTCAAACCATCAGCAAGACGTTGCCTCTTAACTGGTCTTTTAGTATTTTTACTAGGAGGTTTCTGCTCCGATAAAGAAAACTTCATATTGTTCAAAGCATTTTCCTTGCTCTCAGAATTCGCATTTGGAGGCTGCATAGTTAAACAAGTTAATAAATGATCTAAACAAGATGCAGAGACCACTTACACACTCAAAATACAGAAGCCAGCAGTAACTCCCAAGAAGCTAATACGTAATGAGAGAACTGAGAAAAGATGAAAGCAACCAGGTATACCTTTCTGTCCCAACCACCATATTTTATGATATCATTACTAATGGAAACAGGCTTGTCAACCGATTTCTCTTCTGTTAAAGGCTCCCATCTACTTTTAGATCGTCTACTTGGACTCCTTTTATACTTTGGTAATGAAGAAACAGGAGTGGAACATTGTGAACTCCTGCAACCGTAATGGTTCAACAAATATTTATTGTTGGATTCAAAGAAATTTTATATCAACCTATAATTGCTAAAAAGGTCAAATATAAGCTTAGATTACAAGAATTATTTAAGCCATGACATTAAGAGGGAGAGCGACTGAAAGGTTACATACTCCATATTGACAGCCTCAGCATTTGGTATTGCAAAAAGAGGCTCAGCATCCCAGTCCCGAGTGTTAAGTGTACCATCAGCAGTTGCCTTCGTAATGATCTGGACAAAAATGAGAAAAAACAAAAACTTTATATACATGCTATCAAAAATCAGAAAGAAGTAGCATAACAAAAACCATGACAATTTAAAATTTTATAGGAACATCATGTTTACTGAAGCTCAATAAGACATAAGACCAGACAGAATATACTGAAAAAAAAAAAAGATTTTCAGCAGATATAGACTCAAATAGCTTAGAGGTCAAATCCACCCGAAAATAGCTTTTAGGATATGGCGCCTTCCTGAATTCAGATGATTAGAACAAAACTAAAATGAACATATCATTGACAAAGATGCAAGCTACTTGGTAAAATATGGTGTTGATAGACTTTTGGAGTTAGTTGCAGACACTCCCAAAATAGTGTATCAGACTTCATACCAGAGTCTCAAATGGATGAAGAAAAGCATCGATGTTTAGTTCGCTATTCCAAAATCTTAATTTACTAGATTTCAGTGATTTCTTTGAATCTCTTGCCACTATCTCGCTTATCACAACACACATCGGCCAAGACGTGGGCAGATCATAAAGGAACAGGGAGACGACTAAAATTTGAAAATTCTATCACATTTCTCCTCACAACAAGATGGCTCCTTTTAAATTGTAGCTTCTCTAGTTCCATCTCTCGTTCCAATACTATGTTTTTCATCTTAATATTTGAATTCTAAGATACAGTTTTAGCATCAATAAAGATAACTTTGTCGCTGCCCATATGCATTAAAAAATTATATATTTCTAGACCATGTTAAACAATACATTGACAGTCTATTCATTCCAAGTCAGGACAAATGGATTCCTAGAGGTTATATTAAGTGCCATAGTATCGATTTCAAACTTGAAATCATGTCAAAGAGGAAGAAAGTGAATTAAGGAAATGAAGATATGCTATTTTACACTTTAAAGGAGACAATTTATGCCAGAATAGCTTATAGACTATGCAATTTACCTCCTTCATGATAGCCTGACAAGCTACCCGTTGTGTATCATCTTTACATAGATTGAAAGCCCTTTCAACATAACGACGCAGTGAGTTAGGGAACATTCCAGGCTGCAAGAAACAAGAAAGTTTTTAATGCTGAAATCAATATTCAGACAATACTTTTAATGCAAAAATGAAGGATAGAAGACCATTTGCAATACTAGAAAGCTTCTTGGAAGAGTTCCTCTTTTTTTTTCTTTTTTGAGATAAGCAAAACCTAGTTTGAAGAACACCAAGGTGGTAAAAACTACAGGGAAAGGTCCCGAGATAAGATACCGCCCCCCCCCCCCCCCCCACCCAACAAAAAAAAGGCAATCTGTCACTGCCTATAGACAAAAACAACTTGAACAACATCCTCAAGATATCATGTTTTATACCAAAAGCTTAGAGTTTTAGTTTAACTATGAAATATAAACAGAGAAGGGAACTTCACTCTCTCAAAAAATCCTTACGCTTCCTCAATGCTGAAAAAAAAATGGTTCAAGGGATTAAGCCAGGAATTTTTTTGTTGTGTGTATAATGCATACAGCCATATACAGCTCCAACTGCACAACACCCTCTTCAATCAACCCTACTCAACTGCTACTAATTCAGGTCAAAAACCACCCATGGCTTCTTTCTCACCAATGCTGCTTGCATAGATATTAAAGGATTCTTTTTAAACATCACATATGAATACACCGCACCTTTTTCAGCATAACCTATTGTCTTTAGCTCAGAAACAACATAACACCCTCTACACTAAGCAACATGATACCAAAACAAAAGAGATGGACCCTTTTAAAATCCTCCAAAACCTAGAATACCAGGATCATAATTTGAAACTGTTCAGACAAAAAGAACTAGAGAGAAATTATGTGCAAATTACAGCAACTTTTTTAGACTTCTACTGAATTTTTGGTGGGTACCTCCAACACAAATTATAGAGATGTGAGGAAACATTGACTTTTAAAATGACAAAGTTGATAAGAAACCAATATCACCTTAAGCATGGAATTAGTCGCATCACTAGACAACAATTTGTCGTTTGGCTTCGGCAACGACACGCTAATATAAGCAGGTTTTGCTGCTGCGCTGGTCGTAGAGCCATCCTTATCGGTTTTTGATAAACCCATAGCCAAATTTGAAGCAATTCTAGGATTTGTTGGAATCTGCATTTTGCTTACCCTTCGAGTATCTAAAGATGGAACATTTTGCAGAGGTGATTGATAACTCTGGACCACCTGATGAGCAGCAGGAAATTGTGAATTAGGACCTTGAGGAGCAGTCTGTTGTTGTTCCTGAAAATTATCATATGAAGCTTTTGAACCGAGAGAATTTTGAAAGTGTGGTTGCATAGGACTAGCATGGTGATTTTGAAAACTTGGAGTCCCTTGTTTCCAGCCATCATGAGCACTACTGATAGTTGCACCAGTCTGAAAAGAAAACCAGAAAAGACAACATTAATTAGAGTAGCCAAACTTTTGATGTGAAATTATTAACTGATCCAACACAATAACTGTTATGGTCCCAAGTGAAGGATCTCGTCACAGGTCGATTAACGGGGAAGTCGTTTAACTTTCCCTTGTTCAAGTTTCGATTCTTCCTTGAAGAAACTATGATGGCAGATAACAAGGATGATTTGTTTTAGAGACCACCAACTCTCCTAGGTTTTCCTTGGCTGAAATATTCGATAACTTTATTCAGAAAGCATTTGCTCTTTATATAGTAGAAGCGGCTGAAAAACAAAGACAACCCGAATAGGCTATTGCCTAGACAAACTCACACTAACATAGAAAGTCTTAATTAAAATACCACACCAATTAGGACTCATATCATTTTCCTAATCTGACTTATTCTTAATAAATAATAAATAAAAACAATAAATAAATATCCGCAAGATTTTAGTTTCCCTCCTTGGGCTGCTGCCTTCTTCTATAATACTGATCCACAACAATAACACAATGTAACGAGCTACAAACCCCAATAAAGCCGAATGAGGATCTTACATACATATATAGCAACTACAACCACATGTCTGGACAAGCAATTGAGGATCGAACTATAAAGCATTCTCTAGAAATGAGAAGGAACACATATGTAGAAACAAGCCACATAATAACAAGAGCTTAATAACATGTCTGGACAAGTAATCTCTAGTACATGCATCATATTGACAAATTAAAGGAGTTAGAAAGGAGTTAAACAGCTATTATTGATATGAAATAATATCAGAATCAATTAAGCATACGATTAGAGTCTAGACGCCAGATCTAAATCTATATCACAATCATAGAATCATGTTACGACAGCAAACCTGAATAAATCTACATCAAAAAATGTTCCGTTAATACTCACGCCATCTGAATTAACACCAAATTAGAACAGAACTTTAAAATACATATTTTAAATTGAGAAAGAGAAACACCATAGGATAATAAAGCTCCACAAGTCTCTCACAGTTCAGCATCACTTAAAATCCCCACATTTTCTCAAGTACTGCAAATTTCACTTTCATAAAACTTACATGCTCTCTTTCCACCAGGTTCTTTAAAAACATCAAGAGATAACATGTTGCAATTATTTGAGAGAGAAAAACAAGACATCTAGAGCATGCCACCAGTCTAGCCACATCATAAAATATATGCATCATCTTAAAACAGGAGAATGTGTATCACGCAAGTATCATTTTACATTACAAGGGAAGCAATAGTCATGTTCGAATAGCACACTTCCTAACTTTTTTCCCAACCCACTTAGTAATTTGAGAACCTTCTGGTGACATGTTCTTAAATAGCTGGAAAAATCAATCTGTTGGTTCATAAACAAATTTAACTAACATAAATTGATTGTGCCAAGAATGGGGTTTGCATGGATCACAAGGTCGCCAAACAGATGTTAAATGTCACCTACGCACAAGACAACAATTTTCATGCAACAACAGCATCCTCCTAAATAGTCAAATATCAGATCCAAATCAAATCAAATCCAGGAAATTATATACTAACCCTCCCTGATATCCTTCAAGCTAGTCCATTGTCATTGATCTCAAGGAACACCCCCTCCCTTCCCCCAAACACTGGCAAAACCTCAGATCGCAATTTCAACAATAGAAAACTCATTGAGCAAAGAAAAAATCAAAATCCAAAGCTGATCACGAAATAATGATAGATGTATGGGGGGAAATAAGAACAGGGACATGCATAAATATCTCAATGGTAACAATTTGCTCTTACAAGCTCCAAGATACTATACCTGCAAAGAAGGCAACTCAGATGATGCAGATTCTGGCCTCCAAGACGTTGTGGTCAAAGATGAGGGAGGCTGGGTGTTGGAAGTAGGATACACACCAGACACCGCACTTCCCTGGTTAGATGTGCTAGCAGACAAGTGTTCTGTCCCTGGAGCACAACTAACTTCTGTTTGACTGTAATAATCAGCCCATTGCTTGTAGTGCTGCTCGTAGTTCATTGACGTTGACGCTGCAGTACCAGAACTATAAGCACTTGTTGTGTCTGGAGCATAGGTTGAATATTGATGAGATGTATAATTTGCATAATTGGGATCGTTCCACAAGGTAGTCTGATTACTGTATCCGCTGCTTGGGTAACCTCCAGCTGTCTGATAATCACCAGGATTGTAGTAAGTGGTTGAATAACTTGTTGTCCCAGTATGAGACCCTGTATTCTGAAATGATGAAAGAGGCTGATAAGGAGCACCTGTGTTTTGATATGCTCCTAGAGTCGAAGAGTATGAATGGCTAGGTTGTTGCTGAGAGTATGAATGGCTAGGTTGCTGCTGAGAGTATGAATGGTTTGGTTGCTGCTGAGAGTATGAATGGTTGGGTTGCTGCTGATAACCATTATTATAGTAACCTGAATATCCAGTGCTTCCATAACCATATGGATCTGTAGGATTGTATGCTGCATAACTACTATAGTCTTGCACTACACTCGTTGTTCCTTGAGTCGATGAACTAGCAAGGGATGCCGTATTCAAGCCATCTTGTGCATTTCTTGCAAGCTGCTGTGTTTGCTGATCATGGTGATAACTGGAATTTGAAAGAATTCCATTCTCTGTAGAGCGATTATCCACTCTATGCATGGTCCATGATGCAGTTTCAGACCCATTTGCTGAGGGAATATAAGAAGATGTCTGCCCTTGGCTTGCATCAACAACATATCGACCCTAAAACAGCAGCAAATAAAAATTATGCTTTGACAATGACTTCATAAATCACTAAAATTTTAGAATCAACAAACCACACCAATTTGGAACATCTAAACTAAACTAGCCATCCACACACAAAATTATATTAATATCAGGATCTCAATTAAACTTTAGTTCAAATCTTTTAAATAAAGATTAACAGGACACTCCAAACAGACACTAAAGTTCTTCTGAACAACATGATAACACTAAACCTAATTATAATTCACTCTGGTCCATCATTAGCAGTAATCCATATCCAATAAGTTCGAAAACTAACTCAAAAAATTGCTCTATTTGGCTGTAAATTTAGTAAGACAAAAATAAAATAAAATAAACCTCGGAAAGGACTTTCGTTAAGTAGAAATTGAAGCTAATGTCAAAGAATCCAATTCTATTAAACTCACCTCAAGTGAATTAGGGTCCACTGAAGCTATGGTTTGCGTATTAACTCCTTGATTCATCATCATCATCTACTCAGCATCCTAAATTCACCATATTAAGACCAAATTAAGTTTGAAACAACGAGATTAAGAAGTCCACAAAACCCTAATTTAGTAACGACAAATTAAGAGGGAAAAAAAATCTAACCTTCGATGAATTAACACTAAGAAAACGATTGAAGAGATCGAGAAAGCGAGAGCGAAGTAACAGAAAATCAATTGAGATCAACAAAATCAACAATAGCAAAAAAATAAAAATTAAAAAATTAATTTTGTATGTGTAAATAAATACAACAAAAATTAGTAGGCAAAAAAAATATAAACGTTGAATAAGTCGGAGATAAGGAGATGATAGAAAAAAATATATAGATATTAGCGAGTTACTGAGAAAGGGGCGGATTCAAGCAAGGAGGTGTCAATGATAGGTCGTGTTTGGGTCCGTGCGTAAGGTCGTTGATGGCGGTAGAGGGAGATATAATTATTTTGGATTTTAGGGACTAAGTTAGATTATAATTTATATAGTCCTATGTCAACTATAAAAATTGCAACTTGACCTTTGTTTTTTCAATTTTTGTGTGGATTTAGGAGGACGCTAGTGTAGTTTTCCTTTGTTGATTCAAAAGTTTTTTCCTTTTCTTCTTCTTCTTCTTCTTTTTTTTTTTTTGTAAATTTTCCTTGTTCTTCTTCTCTCTTCTTCTTCTTCTAAGCTTTCCTTTTCTTTTTCTTTTTTTAACGTAATTTGGGTACTATCGTTTTGTGGACTAATAACAAAATGTTAGTCTATTTTAAGCATAGATCGAGATTGAGACACTTTTCTTTTCTTTTCTTTACTTTTCTTTTTGGATAAACAAGATATTATCTTGATTAATCTAAGTTTATAGTAAACTAATAATTATATAGAAATTCATTATACTCGACCAATTTTACAATTTTAATTTACACTGATAAGATTCTTGTTAGTTGTTATAATTAATTATTTATTGGCCTCACACAAAAATATAATTTTCTTTCTTTACATAAAAAGACAATTTGATCCATGTGATCTATATTTTTAAAGTAATGAAACTTATCCTTGTAATTCTAGAAAAAAAATAATCACCGAGAACTTTGCCACCCAAAAACCAGAATGAAATTAAAAGATATAAATTTTAGAAAAAAAATGGATACATTATTATTATTATTATTATTATTATTATTTGAACCAAAAAAATGGATAAATTATAGTTCGCTCGGTATTGTCAAAAGAAAACATGTGTTGGCCAAAATTCCATACTTTTATAGTCCAAATATTAAAAAAAAATTACGATGTTGTCAAGATGGACCAGTGCCCTACAAGAATATCACACACATGTAAAATTTGCCTGAGCCAGGCATTCAAGAGCATATGTGGGCCTCTAATATATTATGAGAAATTATTAGGTATTTGAAATTGTATTCTTTCCCTCCAAAGATAATTTTATAAGATCCATCATAATAACTATTTTCAAACTCCAATTCCATACGATAAGTGAGAGTGAATTTTTCGAATGCTGCTCAAAAGCATTTTTTTTATTTAGGTTACTCAATTGAAGTAAGGGATTCAGTATTCAGCACAGACAACGCGTGCGGAGGTCAATACTCGACAACACGCGTTTAAGCCGAAATAGACCAAACTCAACCTATCTAGTAAAAACCTAAGTCCAAGCCTACTCGAGGCCGAATGGGGGAATGAGATGGCCCATTAACAAATCCATTCGAGAATGTTGCTTTCTAAATCTGTACCGAGTTTTTGAGTCAATGGCACTTGCGTTTCTTGCTTAAAAAACATATCATATTTTTTGGACAGAATAGCTATAAGCGTCATCGTTGAGATTTATTGTAATCATACTGTCCATTGTGCCACTTTTCAGCTTACATTCATTACCCATTACCCATGATGGTCTTATTCTTAAAAACAAAATTGGGAACTTTGGGACTTCGTACCTGAAAATTCAAAGCAATTAACTAATTAAATACTTTTCATCCGTACAATATTATATGATGGCATTGTTTAAAATGATAAGCTCTCTGGTTATTGTATTACTAGCTAACGTGATTTATTAATTGAAGACTCGATAGCTGCGTTTTTTTTTCTTTTTCTTTTCTGTTAAATGGATGATTTACAATTTTACGTGGGCAAAGAAGCTTCTTGATTGTCAAATATTCATCGGCAAAAATAAAAATATAAAGGAAAGGGAGATTTTCAACTATCAAAATCCAAGTCCACTTTAATCTTCCTAATAATCTCAAGTTTCACTTTCACTTTGAGTTAATAACACATTGGTATTTTCCTTGCACCAAGAAATGTGAATTGTGCACAAGATTTTTTTTTTTTAATCATGTGCACAAGATTGTTAATTTGTCCATCTTTCCAACCGCTGAAAAAGGTGAGCCTAATAGACAGTATCTGAACGCCGAGGGGAGGGAGGGATTTTAAAGGTCATGACTTAGGTGATTATGGGAAATGTTTTTAAAATATCGAGGAGGCTAGATAATTGCTCAGGGACTGATATGAAGAATACCCAAACTTCAGAGACTAAAATATTCGGATCGTCGTGTCTTCTCTTGTCGCTTTTCTGGCATGCTCGCAATGTTGCATTTAGGTGGCTCTCAAACTTCTTGGCATTTATGTTTTAACAGCAAAATATCACCCGAAACGACGAGTAACAAGCATACACGTTCCAGTTTTAGAAAAACGCCCGAAAAGGATGGGAGAGTTTCATTTGTTAAATTGGAAATGCATCAACGCATAGCATAGTGGCATCACTCCATTGGTATCCTAAAACCGACCGTGACTGCAACACCATGTTATCGTTCGAATGCAATCTTCCGGCATAACAAAAAGCAGCAGCCAAAGTCGCAACACAACCACACAACTCTTATGGTTAGGATATGCAATAACCAAAGTCGAAAAACACAAGCGCGAAAACTGATGATTCCCGGCATAAGCCTCTCCAAGCTAGCAGTCAAACAATATCTTTCAACCACCAGTTAGTTTTGAATTTATCAGTGCCACCTGTCGAGTTTAAAAGAAAGACGCAAAGACTTCATAAACCCTTCTGCGAATCTAAACGGGCTCGTAAGTTCAGGCTGTCTAAATCCAGCAATAGAATAATTAGGTGAACCCCCTCCCGGGTTCTAAAAGTGGAAAACACCGAAGTCTCCCTAAGAACCAAGGAAAGAGGGAATTTTTGTGCAATCTTGGCCTAGGTTGCAGCGGTTGACGCGTTCAAAGAAAACAAACTAAACAGTCTCCTGAGGCTATTGGCCCATAAAACGAAGACTACAGATTATAAGACGGAAAGTGCATGGTCCAACCATAAAGAACACGCACAAATTCTAATCTTTATCAAGTTTGACGCGCAGAAAATTCAACTTCCATCGTGCAGGCAACTATACTTTGCCAGCAGATGTTAAGGTTGCAAATTTGTGCAGTTCTTAAATTCAGTCAATCTAAGTTGGTCCATATTCTCGTCTTCGTGGCTACTGCCAGCCAACATCACTGATCCTCCACTCAGTCATATCGTCTCCTGACAGTGACAAACAGAAAATTACTAGGACAGCTAGGTACCCAGTTTGCACAATGACAATCCAGATGAGTCGCAGGAAAAAGAATTCAAGAAATCACCAAGGCTAGCAAAAAGCATTCCTCTTCTGGTAGCTAACAAAGAACTTCTCCAAAATCATTCCTACTTTTTCTTTCTCGTCTATTGGCTATGGAAACAGTCAAATTTTGAAAACTCCAGCTTTCAATCCACATGCCATCCATAAGCTGACTCCCAAAAGGAATGGTCAATAAGTACCAAATCATGTTCCTCAGCATCCATGAACTAAACACGTCTGAACTCTTCATTATACTGTTTAATACGAGCTTCAGGTGCTAAAACTAATAATATTCTAATTCTAATTACTTTTAAATATTATTTTATCATTATTATTATTATTAAAGAACAGAAAAGATGACTGATGATGATGCCAGTCAGTGCGATAACGACACAAGAACAGACCTGATTCAACCTGCTTGTTGATCCTCAAAGAACAATTAATCTACATCTAGTACAGAGTGTGTTAAATCATGGGAACAGCCTTACCTGAGGTTTTGCACCACCACCTTTCAAACCAAACCCCCGGTGGCTACACCCACATTCAACATGTTTTAAAAAGCTCACCACAGACCACACTTACCTTGTTCCAATAATCATGCAGCAGTAGATAGCACATAACATGCAGTGTATCACAGGAGTGCAGTGGCTGAATCATCCTATTCATTGTAAACAATGAAATAGACTACACCTGGCATCCCTAGATAGTTGTTTTCCCAAAGAAATCCAGAAACTGCTACCAGCAGCACAGCAAGCCACCATCCAACAAGCAGCATTTGCTGCCTTCCAATGAGAACCACAACATTAGTACTAACCAGAAAACTAAGATTCCCAGATATGCTCCCTTTCAAGTAAATGCCTATTAGGAGATGGTAATTTAATCTAATCCACTGAAGACAAGATACCAGGACAAGACTCAAGGATTGGCAAATGCATGAAATTAGACACACCACCAACATGGCCAATGAGAAGTTGATTTTCTACTCAAGTAATCAATAAAAGCATCGCTACAAGAGCCTATTCCGAGTAGCTAGTATTCACCCAATGTATCTTGAAAGCTTTTAAGACTTCATAGAAGAAAATTGATGAAAGTTTAACCAAAGTTCAGTTAAACTTGAACCCATAATAGTACTTGCAGCACAACTAAACCATGGAATCCTGTAAAGCCTAAATTCCCAGTCGAATTACCTCAACCCACCAAGAATACTGTGACTGACAAGCAGTTGCATGCCTGAAAATTTCTCTATGTCATTAAAGTAGATTGCAACAATTAGTACTTTCTAAAAGCTTGAGCACTGTGCACTGTGCAGTAACTGTATGAGCTGGCTGCACAAATTTGGTAACATGATTGAAATACTCACATTTGGGCAGCATAACAAAGGGAAAGTGAAGCAAGCAAAGAACAGAAAGTTACTGATTTTATTAAAGCTTCCGTTTTATGGCTTCAGAATCAGACCGAAGTTCCAACAACGCCACAGTGCACACCTACTTCAACCCACCAAGCATAATCAACATGTCAAGCTGAAAATACTTTGAGAAACTTGGGCCCATCCACCAGAGAATGTACAAACACTGATTTTAACTGAAATGATCCTGATCATTTATAAAGTGCCGCCATAATTATGACACTATAAAACTTAATAAGATGAAACTTGAAAAGTGCACCTAACATCCAGAACTTGAGAAGAAGGAACCAGCAGATAAGAGTTCTGAAAGAGACAATCTATGTACATGACAGAAAAGTCATCTGATGTTTGCAAGTATCCAGGGTTAAATGAAGCTAGCATTTGACATTGCACTCGCAACTTGATTTGAGAATTCAGCAAAGAACATTTATCAATCTAGCTGTGTACGCAACCAAAAGCAATTCTGCCCCTAGTCCCCTATATCCTCTTAAATAACAAGCTCTTATCCTTGTGTATTGCAGTTACTATTAAAACCTTTTCCTCTTCATTCGTGTAACATCATCAAACCCATCGTCATATAACGCCTGCCCACCATGCCTGTAATTTCCTTCCTGCTCTTCAATGCCTCTGGGTCTTCTCGGTACATTTCCAGCACGGTTCTTAATCCGTCCATCAAACTCCCTTTCCCTCAAATTAGCTCTTTCATTGAACTGTGGGTCATCTTCTGGAAAGAACCTAAAAGGTCTAGGGCCGTCCTCAGGATTAAGATGAAAATTTTCACCATCAGCACCATTAAAAGGAGGCTTAAATGTACGGACAGGTCCCCGTCTCTCACTAAACCTTCTTCTATCTTCAACATTACCATCACCACCAAGCTCATGAAACCGGCCAGAGTGCATGGGCCCTCCAAAGAACTCATCACCGTCCGTCCTTTCTCGAGGATCTGTAATACCAAATCTCCTAGTGTTTCTGAGCAAAACCCTTCCAGTTTGGGCCCTATTAGAGACGATAGACCTTGGATGGCTGTGATCACGACCAGGATCCATTTCCCTCGTATCATTAGGTCGAGATGAGAATGATGGTGAACCGTGCCTCCTAAAGACCATTTCCCTGGGAAAAACAGGATGATCAGGTGACCTGATCCTCCCCATCCGATAAATTGGTGATCTTCGATTAGGCAATTCTGAGGTTCCACCAAACCCATCTGGAGATCTTCTTCTGGCAGATGACCATGGACCAGGAGAACGAGATCTAATTGGGGATTTTGAACGAATTTGGGGATGAACCCTTCTCTGAACAGAGGAATAGTTCCTAGTCCCTTGGACAAAATGACCATCTAAACCTTCAAATGAAGGTTGAGGACGTGTAAACGCCTCCTCTGAACCATCATCAGGGAACCCCCTCATGTTCTCAGCATGCCTAACTCCAATAACTTCAGAACCTTGTTCACCAATGTTTCGAGGAACTCTATGCATCATTTGAATGCCCCGTGCGGCAGGCCCATCTCTCAATCCAGGAGACCGCCTCCTTGAGGGTAACTGGCGGAAAACTGGTGTCTCATCATCCAATAGCTTTCTCCCTCCCCGTGCAGTACCTACAAATGCACCATCTGGTCCAATATTATAATTAATAGAATCAGAACCTGCCTCAGCAAGAGCAGAAGCATAATATTTATGTCTGCGAACAGCAAAATCTGATGAACCATTATAAAATTCTGAGGCATAGTTACGTTCAGAATCCCTGTCACCACGTAGTGTGTCAATCCGACTGGAAATCCTGCCTCTACCACGGACAAAATTCATTCTAGAGTTTCTGGGAAAATGCTCTTGATGCCTCTCTCTTGAGAATCTGCGAGGGCCATCAAAATAAATTCCATCCCTGAGCCAAATTGAAATGGAAGAAAATCAGACTATCATGCATATGGTACGCCTTCAAAAAAGGGAACACAAAAGAGAGCCAAATAAGATAACAAATAATCACCTCCCTCGGGGATGTAGTTTACCACCCTCAAGTGGCACATCAGGTAATCTCTCTCGATATGACGGTACAGGCTTGCCTGATATAGGCCGTGTCTTCCCAGGAGATGAGGAATTAGAAGCTCGTGACAAGTTTATAATCCTACTCCGGCCGCTGCTGACATCCTTAGCCATATCACCACCATTTAAAGATGCGTCTACCTCAGGCAACTCATTCTTTTCCACATCATTTGTTTTAATGTTTTCGTCTGAACCTTGCTCAGCAGAAACTAAAGTTCCTTGACCTCCAGTAATGTCTTGTCCAGATGACAAATCTGCCCCCTGGCCCATGGGATCATCTTTCTTCCCAGATATGTCAAGTGATTTTCCTTGAATGGTTGTGGTTGCCCTCTCTTGATCTGCCCCACAAGCTGGAATCTCATCTGTTGATGATTCTTTCACAAAAGCATTATCAGCATCTTCAATGGCTGTGGTGATACATTCTTTCACGGTAACTTCATTGGTTTCAGAAACTTTTATTTTAGAATCACTTTCCTCAACATGGGATAAAATATGATGATCATCACCAGCAAGGTCAGAGTTTGCTTTTTCATGCGCAGAATTACTACAATTACCAGGACTAACATCTTTTTCCTCACATTTCTGACACTCTGAAGCAGCTTGCAGATTCGGATCTCGGACCTCACCATCTTCATAATCATGTTCTCGACACTCTTCTTCTATATCCATAGGCATAGAATGACCATCGGACTCATAGCCAGAGCCATAAGAATCTTCTTCTAGCATATCACCAGACAAGTTAATCTTTTCCTCATCAGTCACAGAACCCTCACCATTTCCACGTGAACCTGCAGGGACTTCCTCTGTTAATTTCAGCTCGCACTGCACAGGATTATCCACATCCCTGTCTTCAGTAATTGCAGTATCTATCTTAACAGAAGCATTCGATTCGTTACCACTGGGACCCACAGGTATAGAACCCATCTCTGAAGAAACCTGCACAGCACTTTCACATGCTTCCTTTGGCATCTCCTTCCTAAGAAGGGCACCTTCAGCACAAGCGGTATGCTCTAAGGGGTCTGATGCATTGCTACTTATTGACAAATCTGTTGAACAAGTAGGTTTTGCTAAGATATCTTGACCTTCCCTTGCCTTGCATTCTGTTGAACAGGTAGGTTGTCCTCTAGCATCCTGTCCTTGCAGCACTTGTTTACTTGTTGAACAAGGAGGTTGCCCTCCGCTATCCTGACTTTGTAGCACCTGTTTATCACGTTGGATTGACACCCCCTCTAAAGTCCTCCATGTTTCTGGTATACCAACTGGAAATGGTTCAGGTTTTATGAATCCCTGACCAACTAATTTCACAGAACCAAAAACTGCAGACTTTGAGGCTTCTGGACTACCCTTCTCAACTAACTCACGCTTCACAAAAAAATCAATTGGACTAACTTTAGCTCCTCTAGGATCATGTTTGACGCTCCCATCAAATGGTTCAGATTTTATGGTCCTAGAGTTAACCATGGTAAAATTGCCTGCTGAAAGCAAGCCTCCAGGCAAGCTAATATTAGGAAGAACACGGCTTTCTTTGTTAGCAGAAGAACTGGAAGGCTCCTGCCTTAAGTTAAAAGAAGGAAATGATGGACTGAGACGTAGATGAAGAGAATCCTCAGATGCATACTCCTTGGCACACTCTGAGGATGTTTGGGGCAAACTAGATCTGCGCTCACTATCATCAAGGAGTTGCTTTTCTTTAGCAATACCAGTTCCAACTATTCCAGTAGAAATATCACGAGTGACACCAACTCTGTTCCACCCATCAGCAGTTACTTGAGCTACATGTTCATCGCTGGTAGAACCATCCCATGTATCCATAGTAGTATTCAAATCCCAGTTTGATCTATTAGCACATAAATTGGTGCTGTCTTTAGCCAGAATATGGTCCATTTTGTACTGAACACCAGTCTCACCCTTGCTTAAAGACAAATTCAATGAAACAGCCCCTACATTTTCATGGTTTTGACTACCATCACTGCTATAACGTTCCAATGACGAAACATCAAGTTCCTTTAAACCTACTGAAAACTGAGAAGTTCCTGAAACTATAGGTGTCTGCGATTTACAATTTCCTTGTGATATTTGTTGCCTGTGTCTCTCTTTACCAGCATTGGGACCAAGACCTTTATTGGCTTCTATATTCAACTCAGTTTTTGCTGAATTCAACAGCGGGTTGGCAGACTTTTCTGCCACCACAAGCTTCTCTTCCTTGTCAAACTTAGCCAAAGAATCCGACTGAATTTTGAGGTTCGATTCTTCAACTTTAACTCCCGACCAGCTAGCAATATTCATTTGCACAATGCCATCAGACCTGTTCTCGTTTTCTTCAGGTACAGAATTCTTGCATGGGTCTGATAAATCAGAACTTGCTGCAACAATAGCAGAGGGAAGACTTGACTCCTTAGATGTGCTGCCAGGTTCTTTCTGTACTGAATCATTTTCCACAAATGTTACAGATTTTTCTTCTGAAGGAGGCGACGGATGGCGAATGAACCTCCTTTTCTTGATAGGAACACCTGCAATATTAAGACTAGACTGCCGGGCAAGGGGTTTAACCCCAGTCTGCCAATAAAAGATTAATTGAATCAATATTCAAGGGAAAAACATATAAAATGTTCTCTAATCTTAGTTAACAGCGACTCAAAAAGAAAATAAACACCTCTTCATTTCCAGAAACCGGCATCACTCCAAAGTTCGCACGTGCACAACCCTTCTTGATACCTTAACAAAAATAATTCATGGATTAATCCCCCAACAATTTATCCTGACTTGCCTTCAAATCCAACCCCAATAATTACTGAAACCAAGTTTGCAAATTTATTCTTTTCAATAACTAAAATCAGTCAATTTGTCGATAGTCTTTTAGCACCAACCAAGCAAAGTTATTGCTACAGGTAGTTAGCACCTGCAGACAGCACAGCACAACAACACTACCCATATCCTTAATTAGTCCAAAAAATTAAAAAATTAAAAAATTAAAAAAGGCAGAAAAACCAAAAGGAAATAAACTGATTGATCATGAAAAAAATCAATAAACTAGATCCAAATTATGGGTGGGTCATCAAAAAAATCCAGTATGAATTTCATAATCTGGAAAGCTAAACCTCAACACTCTCATCTTAATACTGTCATTAATATCCAGATCTAAAAAAACTAACAAATCATTAACATAAATGACAGCTATCAGAGCAGTCAATAAAAAGTCACTGAAAACCCAAACCTATCAATTGGACGGAGAATTATACACTAAAAAATTGACCTGAAATCAATCAATTGCACACTCAAAATTTGACCTAAAATCAATCGATTACAGGCTACAAAGTTGACCTAAATTCACAATCGTCAATGCTGAATACAACTATTAAAAAAGACACACGGATTATAAACCGACAAGAAAAAAACGGTGAATTAATTACAGATTAAAAACAGACATTAGCAAAGATCCAAACATTTAACTTCTCAAATCCACAAATAAACTAATCATTGATCAAAAAAACCAACAAATCTCCTTGAAAACGTCCTTTTAAGCATTTGATTAGATAATCTATAATCGATGGACAGAAGCTTTTGAATCCAAAATTGGAAAAAAATTTGAGACCATTTCGAGGAAGCTAATAGAAAAAAGAAAAAATCCACGCGGATTGAAGTAAAACCAAATAGGAATCGGAAAATACAAGATACGAACACAAACAGATTCATTACCTGATTTGAGAGAGAGTGTGTGGTTTTAGAGAAAGAAAGTGAGAAAATGTTATAGAGGTTTCTTTGCAACTTAAACGAAAATAGAGAGAGAAGGAGAGTGACGAATCAAAAGGTTGCTTTGAAATGATTGCTTTGTTGCTTAGGGTTGGGTTCTTGGTTTCTAATAAAGTAACTGCGGTCTTTCTTTTCAAATTTGACTTTTTCTTGTTTTTATTTAATCCTTTTTATGACGAGTAATTATTCAAGTATAACGACGTATTTTTTTTTACAAAAAAAATAAAAATAAAAATACGGGATTCATAAATATTTTTATAATAAATCTTATATTTTAGTGAGAAAAGGGGATTCAACTCTTGTATACCTAATTTTCCCATGGCGTATTAAACACGCCGAAGGGACCAGAGGCTAAACGGATTATTGACACGCATTCACCATTTTTGAGAATCTTTATCTTGAGTGTGAGGTGGATCCCACAACTAACCCTTTTGCCGGCCATTATTGACTGACCATTTATTTATTTTATTTTATTCCGACATTTTTACGAAGACCAACCATAGATGTCCATTCCCACTTGCAAGAAACGAATAAAAAACCTTTTTAATAGAACATGGTGCACCCATTCAGCTTTTACCGTTCGTTTGGTAGTTCAGCCAAATTTAATTTGCTATTTTTTCTTTCACCTTCAAACATAAAAAGACTTTTATTATAAACTGGGGACTTGTTAAATTACCTCACCGATTACTGACTTGCGGACACACGTAGGTAATATAAGAAGATGACATATATTTTGTCTACTTTTTGTAGGTTGTTTTACTTATCGTTACTCGATAAGGACCACTACCCCAATTCAATGAATCTCCCACCTAAAGCACGATATAACTCTAGGAAAATGACAAACGTACGTTGATTTAGTAGGGACCCAGTTCACACTGCTTCTGAAATTGAACTGTTGTTAGTCTTTGCTTTCCATGTGATGACATAATCGCTTACAACAGTAGGCCACACAGGAACATTATCGTAAGGAGCAAATCTCAATCATAAGAACATAGGAGAAGTAAGCAAAGGAGATATTTCTTCTTCGGTTACAACAGTCTAGAAAGAAGCAATTGCCCAAACACAGGAACAATTGTAATTATGCAACAATGCACCCATGTTGCCAGCCTAAGAAATTTTTTCCATTTTACTTTCGCTTGTTGCGTCCATCCCCGTCAAACAACATTGATTGAACCCGCCTCCAACCAACCAAATATACCGGCTACTAAAGGAAAAGCGGTTCAACAAAAACACAATCAAATTCATCGCCACGATCACAATATTTTATATTACTCCATTAACACTAATAACTTAGGTTTCTCATAAAATATAATTAATGATTAGGTTTCCGTCAAATTAATCGAACTCCAGCCCCTTTAAAAAAAAAAGGGCACAAGCCCATCAAAAACTGAATCGAAACACCCCTATTACATTCCAAATCCATTTCCACAAAAACCCGAAAATTACATCCATCAACCCAAGCCTATTACGTTCGTACTTACAAGACAGTACCTAAAAAACCCTAATTAGACGATCTAAACACCATCCCTAAGAAACCCCGAAATTTCTTGACAGCAAGACTTTGATTCTAAAATCGAAAGCCCTTAACCACCGAACCCATAAAGAGTTCTTCCCTGCCTCTTGAGTGCATACACCACATCCATGGCAGTAACGGTCTTGCGGCGAGCATGCTCGGTGTAGGTCACAGCATCTCTGATAACATTCTCAAGGAAGATCTTGAGCACACCACGTGTCTCTTCATAGATCAAACCACTGATACGCTTTACTCCACCCCTACGAGCAAGACGGCGGATTGCAGGCTTTGTTATACCTTGAATGTTATCACGAAGAACCTTGCGATGACGCTTGGCTCCTCCCTTTCCTAGACCCTTGCCTCCCTTTCCACGTCCAGACATTTTTCTTCAGTTAATAAGATCTATGGAAACACCCAACAAAAAAAAAGTTTAGCAGTTGATAAAAATTAAAAAGAAACGAGACATTGAAATTAAAACCAAGTGCAAAATAAAGATGATAAACTCCAGAGATTTAATTGAAGCATTATATCTAATAAACGGGATCAAAACTTTCTTCATGTTTCTTGCATTTCCTCAGCAACTAAACAGGTGTCAAATTGGGGAAAATGAACACAGAGGAACGCAAAACTGAGTGATTTGTGAAGAAGGAGAAAATCAAAACAATTTATCGAACATTAATATATTCTTGCGTTTTTCTCAGTGACCAAACAAGCAGCATTAACAAAGAAAATGAAGAAAAATATCAACTGAGAATCGAAAAATAAAACGCACTTCGATATAATTAATAGAAAACTGATACTCATTTGAATCTTAATATTAGATATCCAAAATAAAAGAAACCGGATTCTCATTTTAATCAGAGATCAGCCGAAACGAGTTTTCAAAACGAAATCTGGCGGTGGAAAACAAATTATCCCCAATACGATACGAGCGTAAAGAAAGTAGAGAAAAGAAAATACCTAAAGTGCAGACTTCGAATTGAATCTCGAGGTGAGAATCGAAAACGAGAAAGAGAGATTTGCTTGTTTGCGTTGGACGATAAAGTAAGGGTACTGGTCATGTTTATAGGGACACGCAATGATGGTACTTTATGGTCGATCCGCGACCAGTCTTTTGAAGAGACCTTTGGACCGTTGGTGTTTGTATGGACGGCTCAGATTATGAGAATTGTAGTGATGGGGATGAATGACGTGGCGTGTTTTTTGAACTACGTGCTAGGCGGAGATGGTGTTGGGTTTTGAATTACTGGAGGGTAAAAAGAGTGTTTGTGTTTTCTTGTGCTTGATTTCGATCCGAATTCAAGAAAACTTTTGGAGATTTTTGTTGAGCTTCAATTGATTTTCTTGATGGGGAGGCTTATGGATCTGGATTGAAAATCAATTTCGAGGTCTTAATATAATAAATTCAGCAATTAGAGGTTAAATGACCCAGTCAATCTAGATGTTCTATGAAGGAGTCATTAAGAAAAGGAGGATGGGTTTCGATTATTATTATTATCAACTACTGAAAGAAACATTTTTCTTTTTCTCTACTTAATAAAACATTAGTTTATTGTTTTTATCTGGCAAATTCTCTATCTATTCTTGTGAGATTCTGTTGCCTTGGAGTGCTAGTTTTTTTTTTTTTTTTAATTATTATCTAATCCGTTTCTCGCACTATATAACCATTCAAATAAAATAAATTTATTTGAGTTTTCTAGTCTCTACTACATTGTCAATCAACTAAATTACATAAAATTAAAGCTAAAAAATTTCATCTAATTTCATATTTTCTAATCAAAACTTTTATTCAATTTATCCTTCTTTGTGTTTTTCATAAATTTTATTGTTAAAAAAAATAAAAACTACTCTTCATTGTACTTTTATTCTTAAGTAAAAATCTATAATAATTTTTTTATAAAATTACATCTAATAAATAAAATAACAATCAATACAAAAACATGTACAAATTTAAAAAATATATATTTTTTATTGTTCTTTGCTGTTGATGAGAAAAGTAATTAACTTTTTAGCAATATGTATATATGATTTATATATAATTATTTATAAAATAATCAATAATATTAGTATAAAAAATTATAATTCAATTAGTAGATGGTTCTTATATAATATTATTTTGCTTATTTTGCTTGAAAGAAATTAATTTTAAAATATTTCAAAAAATTAATAACAAATGGTTGGTATTATACATGTAGATTCATAATTAATTTTCAATATGATTTTTAAATATTTATTTATAAAATAATCAATAATATTAGTATAAAAAAATATAATTCAACTATTAGATGGTTCTTATAAAATATTATTTTGCTTATTTTGCTTGAAAGAAATCAACTTTAAAATATTTCAAAAAATTAATAACAAATAGTTGATGTTATATATGTAGATTCATAATTAATTTTCAATAAAATCAATGATCTTAATTTATTTTTTATATATTATAACCACATTTAGTGGGCCAAAGTGTGCAGCATAAATTAAAAAATATTTTAAAAAATTAAGTTATAAATAATATATTAAAGTTAATAGATTGTAATAAAAGTAATCCTAAAGTTTCTTCATGTAAATTTTGATTGCATAAAGAATAAACAAATAAAACACATGGATTATATTTTTTATTAACATTTTTATTTATAAAATAATCAATAAAATTAGTATAAAAAATTATATTTAAATTATTATATGTGTATATGCATAGCTAATTTTCAATAAAACCAATTATCTTAATTTATTTTTTATACTCGATGGGTCATAGTGTGCAACATAGATTAAAAAATATTTAAAAAAAAAACTCCAAGTCGGAGATAGTAATTTGTAACCCCAAAGTTGAATATTAAACTCCAAGTTATTTTTTATACTTGGTGGGGTTACATATTACTATCTCCAAAGTTGAATTACTAGGCGGAGATGGGTTTTGTAAATTGTAACCCCCGTAAAATTCTTTAACTTAGTTATACGTACCGATATATTATATACGTATATATAAAGTATTAAGTGTGATTAATATTTAGAGATAATAATATGCTTTATGCTTATGTGATGAGTTATAGGATTCAAAAAATATATATATCAGCATGTCGCAGTTTTAATTCCCGAGCCAAAATATCTCTTGAAATATCCATAATTATGTGAGTATAAATTATGTGTCATTTCTTTTATATTTATGGTGTGAAAAAATATTTAAAGTTTATGGAAGTGTTCATAGGAATACCTTTTTGGGAATTTAATTAGTCGTTATTTATTTTTTCATAATTTTATATTTAAAATGACCATGCAAGTAAATTAATTACCCAAACAAGGTGTATAGCCGAATTTTAGAAATCAAACGAGGTAAGAAAGTTGGTTAGTTTAGTTACCTTTTTAGTTCCTATATTTAATACTTGATTTGACACCAAACCTATCACTTTTTTTCTAAAAGTGTGACACCTAGCCCACTTGGATTTTTAAATGGTCTACTTATTTCTCATTTAGTCCCATCATTTGACCTTTGTTTGCCACAAAATTTTGACACTTGGACTATTAATAAATGAAAGGAAAAGTGTGATATAAGATTTGAAAAAAAGCTTAAGTCTTGTCATTTTTCTTGACAAAAACCATAGCTTCCAAGAGAGGAAAGAGAGACGGCTTTATGAGAGAAAGAAAGAGAGAAAAGAAATGAGAAGAAGAAAGGAAAGAAAGAAATGAGAAAAAGAAGGAAAAGTCTAGGAAATCCTAAGCAAGCTTATATCATTGTAAGTAGGTTTCATTTAGCTTTATTCTTGCCTTAAAGTTCTAATTTCCATGTTCGTTTTATGAGTTTTGTCTTGATCCATGTAATATGTTGTTATGGTGGTTATGTTGATGTTATATTTCAATGTCTTTGGTAATGGATCTATGATGTTTTAATGATGGATCTAGTATCGTTGTTTGATGTGCATTCAATGGTAAACTCCGTGTTAAAATGTACAAGCATGCGGATATATAGGCATGATGATGAATGATTATGCATATGTGATGGATTGGTTTGGTGATAACCACATGGGTTTGAAAGATATGTATGAATGGGCTTGGATTAAAATAAAATAGACTTGGATTAAATAAAAGAACTTGGGTTAAAATAGAATGGGCTTGGATTAAAATAAAGTGGGACTTTGACTAAAACGGATGGACTTAGATTAAAACAAGATGGGCTTGGATTAAAATAAAGTAGGACTTAGATCAAAACAAATGGACTTGGATTAAAATAAAATGGGACTTGGATTAAAACAGATTGACTCGAATTAAAACAGGATGAGCTTGGATATCCTAAGAACACTTATTGGGCCTTGATACTAAAATGGCAAAGTTGGATTTATGTTTATGGACCTAAAGATCTAGACTTCTAAGGTAATCCATTGAAATATAATTTAGTACATTAAGATGGAAAGAAAAGACTTAGGAACAAAAGACAAACCTTTGCCCCTATTTGACCCATCGACCAAAAACTCTAGAATTCGAATTTTGAATATCATTCACCCAAATTATGAATCAATGGTTTAAATGTATTTAAATGAGCATAAAATAAAGTGCGTAAAGGTTAGATCCTAAGAAAAATAGGAATTTTGGTTTTTACCGGGGAACACGGCTTAAACCCGACTTTTACAGATTGAGTTTCAAACACCCAACTTTATGAGTAATGGTTTCTTTATACTCTAATAAGTATAAAATGAGGTATTAGAAGAAGATGATTTAAGAAAAATCAAAATTTGGACTTGGAACCACTAAAATTAGAAGTCGACTATCAAGGCTCATATCAAATGCCATTTAAACTATGACTAAAATATGGGACTTGAGTAAACCTAATGGATGGGTTATGTATTTCGTATGAGAATATCATGAAAATATTGATGAAGTCCCAAGTGTGGATTGAATTTTTAAAATGGTATGGACACAAAGAGTTTGGTGCCCGTGAGATATGGAATATGGTTTATGATACATCATGTGCATCATATGCATGCAAAAAATTATTTGACTTGAGAAAAACAAGTGAGTCTAAAACGATGAGGTTTGGTAACTTACTAGAATAAATGAATATTGGCGATCCAATTGTGTGCGTACTCTAAGTTGTGTGCCCGCACTGTTAGAGGATGGATTTCTGCTAACAATGGCTATAACGAGGGATAATTTCATTGTTAGCAGAAGGTGATTCGAGTAATCACTCGGATTAAAAATATAGTAGACTCGATAAATACTTAGGGTACCCGGGATTAAAATTTGATGAGTCAAGGTAGGGAGTAAGAAAATCATTGCATATCACATGTATCACCCTACTTACCGAGCTTTGGCTCACTCTGTGTTTATTTCATGCCATGACAAGTAAAGGCAATAATAATGCTGAAAATGAAACTGTCGGTTCCTTATAGA